GCGACAGGAAAAGTGCCGTCGCAAAAAACACACCTTACCGTCGCAGAAACTAATGGCGACGGTACTTACTGTCGCGAAAGCTCTTTTGCAACCCCCTTTGTCGCGACCCCCCATTACCGTCGCAAAAAACCACATTACCGTCGCAAAAAGTATTAGTGACGGCTTCCGGGGCATTTGCGACGGCCTTTTACCGTCGCAAAAAACGAATTTTTTTGTAGTGCTATTTATTTCGTAGGCTCTTTACATATATTACTTGAAAGAAGAAAAAAGACAATCTAGTTTTAAATTATTTTATTGTTCATTTTTTTTAAAAAAAAAAATCTAATAAATAAAATCATAAAAGACGTGGAAATAATTTGTTCTATCTAATTTATTTTTTTATTTTTTTAAGAATGATCTATTCATATAGATTAAAAAAATGATTTAAATTATCAAAATATGATCCGTAATAAATTCTACGAGCTTTAGGAAGCACCTTCTAACCTCATCCCATTTCTATACATAATGAAGTGACTTTTTATGTTCTATTCATTTTTAATCAAAACAATTATCATCATAATTTTAAAGTATCCGACAATCCAAACAAGGTGTAAGTGTGTCTCACTGTTTTGTTTGACTTGTTGATATCTGAAGTCTTCAATTGTAAACTGTATTAGGGTTGTGTCTGGTTTGGGAGATTTGGAGAATGATTAGGAAAGAAAAAAAAAATGTGTGAAATTAGATGAAATGTAAATATATTTTATTCATATTTTATCTATTTTTTTCTTTTTCTTTTTAAATTTCTTCTAAAATCTTTCAACCAAACACAACTTAGATGATATCCTTTGTGATAACTTGGAATATTTGTGACTTCGTTGTTATAACTTATATTTAGATCTTAATTATCTTTTTTAATAGCTTTTTTTATTTTTTTATTTTTTTATAAGTAATGTTGTATAAATAAAATTTTGGGACATTTACACATAAGTCCAAATTTATGAACTTATACTCTATTAAGTCATAATTAAGCTTTTTTAGACTTTCAAGTCCCATTAAATTTGTAATAGTCGGAATTGGTTGTCAAACAATGATTGTTCATCATTTATGATTATTTATAAAAGAACATGATAATTTGACATTTATTTTGATTTTTAAAACTTTAAAATATTAACTTCAAATTGGAAAAACTAAAAAAAAAATTATGTGAAAAAAAAACTAATTTAAAAAAAAAAACTAATTTTTTTTTAATTTTTTTTGAAAAAACGGAATTAATTTTTTGTGCGAAACTGAAAATTTCGTATCTATAAAGGAGCATGATGATGGAACATTGATGTGAAAAAAAAATTAAAAATGAAAAAACAAGTAATGTTCTCAGTTTTGAAAGTGGAAAAAACTGATCATGTTCTCGGTTTTATTGGATAGTTAAATCCAACCAATAAGTACAAGGGCAAAAACGTTTAACCTTATGCTCTGTTTTTTTTTCATTAGTTAGTCAAAAAATTATCTGAAACATTATTATGCAAAATTGATAATATTTTTAGTTTTAAAAATTGAGAAAAACTAATAATATTTTCAGTTTTACTAAATAGGATTTATTTGTTCAAAAAATCTTAAATAGAACTTGGGTTATTATAACACTTATAAATAGGACTTTTAAGTAATTAATTCTAAAATTTTTGTTTAAATTTTTTTATAAGAAATGGATTCTTCCTCGTGCAAATCTAATTTCTATAAGAAATGAATTCTCTCCATTACAAATAAAGACGGTACGTATGGGTAATTCTATTTCCACACACCAAAATATCTCACTCCACATTCTCTCTCAATACACACACTAATTAATTTTGAATTTTGTAATTTTACTCAATGCATAACTCTTTTTACCAAAAATATCCCTCTTGAAACCCTAGTGGATGTGGGCGGTTAGTAACAATCCTTTTGTAGGATGCAGGTTCATGGGTTCATGATGTTCTTTTCGATTAGTTTTATGTGGGGTCTCTTCCAGTGGTTCTTTTCTGGTGGTGAACAATGTGGATTCTCCAACTTCCCCACATTTGGATTGAAAGCTTGGAAACAATCGTGCGTACTTGATGTTTGTTCTTGTGCACTTTCTAGTTTTATTTTCGATCTAAGATTATTCAACAGTTGTTAATACATGCAACTGAATTTTTTGTAGATTTTACTTTGATTTTAGCATGACTTACATTGGAGCAGAAATGATTTTACCAGGACTTAAAGAAATTAGAGTTTTGATGGAGAAGATAAGGACACTTTAGTAATTTTATTTTAGGACAAAACTGTAATAAAAAAATAAATCATTAAATATGTACACAGAGATAAGTGTGTGTGTAGAAATAGAATTTCCCGCGAAGTATTGTCCAATTTCGTGGGGGCCATCATTATGAGCGCTTCTTTGACCATCTAATCTATTTGTTTTGTAGGCCCTTACATCTATTACTTGAAAGAAGAAAAAAGACAATCTAGTTTTAAATTATTTTATTGTTCATTTTTTTTATAAAAAAAATCAAATAAATAAAATCATAAAGGTCGTTGAAATAATTTGATCTATCTAATTTATTTATTTATTTTTTTTAAGAATGATCTATTTGTATCGATTAAAAAAAAATGATTTGAATTATCAAAATATGATTCGTAATAAATTCTACGAGCTTTAGGAAGCACCTTCTAATCTCATCCCATTTCTATACATAATGAAGTGACTTTTTATGTTCTATTCATTTTTAATCAAAAAAATTGTCATCATAATTTTAAAAATGCCATTGAAATATCATTTTAAATCTTTTCTTTGTATAAATTTTTTAAGACTATTATTAATCACATTTCTTTTCCACCATACATATATGATAAGATATTATTAAGAACAAGATTAGATACACAAAATTTACATAGAAAAATAAATATGTGATTCAAATTTATTATTTTTTAAGCATAAACTCCATTGTCTAAGAGTAAACCTCAACCACGTAATCTAATTATGTTTAAATTTTTGTGTTCACATCTTGTGTCTCTAGAGTAAATCTCAACACAATCTATTTATGTTTAGAAAAATGCTTAATAACTCGAATTTGTGTGACCCGAATGGTTCAAATGTATCAAAACAACGTCGTTTTACTTCCAAAATGATATTGTTTTGAGACATTTGAGCCGTTCGGGCCATAAAAATTCAGGCTACCAATCATTGTTGTAATGTTAAAATTCCTGTATACACTTTTTGTGTCTCTAGCTTTATGCTATTATCTTGATTCAAGAAAATGAGGAATTTTTAGATGTCAATAAGGTAAATGTTACGTGGTGTCTTGTTTTAGGCTAAATTACACTGACACTTCTGAGATTTCTATTTAATACAGATCTCTTTACATTTGAAAAATTACATTTTCCGTCCTGAAGTTTGTAATCTCATTACAAATTACTCTCTGAATTGTTGATGTCATACTTTAAAATTTTCTAAATAACTATCTTGCCTTTTTTTTTTTCAATTTTTTCTTTCTATTATCATGACTACATTCTACAATTTTTCATCATTAAATTCTACCTGAACATATTCTTATCGGGTGATGATATATAAATATAAATTTTATATAGAATTTTCAAACACAATAATATAACTTAGGGTTCGTTCGGGAAGTGTGTTGGCTTTTTGACTTTTTGGCTATTTTAATCTGGGGCTAAAAAGCCTCGTTTGAAAAGAGTTTTTTTTTTGGCTTTTTTGACTTTTAGTAAGAGAAATAATGTAATGATTATAAGTTGATGTGATGTTTTGTCTTATTGAGCTAAAAAACTTATTTTGTCTTTTTATGGTTAAAATAGTCCCAAACCCAACTCATCTTCCCAAACAGAGGCTTAATGGTGACCTTTCACTTTAAAACAAAACACCTATAAACATGATTTATATTTACAACAATATCACTATTACAACATTTTTATGATATTTTTTATATATGAAAATAATTTTTTATTTTTATTTCCACCATTATATCTAGATTAGATCAATTTAATCTAGATATATTTAAAAAGTATAAAATTTGTACAAAAAAAAAAACTTTTAAAAAATCTATTAAATACAACAAAATAAGATAATGTATTGAATTTTTCATGTCCACAGCAGAAGCTGATAATCAGAAGCAAGGGGTGAGCAGCTTTTCAGAATCAGCTTTTTTGAGTTAAAATAAGCTGTTAGAATCAGAAGCTGTTTGAAATAAGTTTAACCAAACAGTCCAAAATAACTTTTTCAAAACTAAAAGCCATAAGTTAGCTCTAAAAAGCTGAAACAAACACCCCCTAAGTGTATCTAAAAAAAAATTTACTTAAAATATTAAAAAATTTAGTACAAATAAAAAAACACTAAAAATAAAGAAATGTAATTTTTTTGTGTGAGTTAAACCAAAGAAGATGATTGTTATTTCTCTTGAAATGACATGAACAAAATATATGTATTATTTTATTATTTATATGTATAAAAGTTAAGGAACAAATATGTCATTTTAATCTGACAGGAGGTATGTGTAATTTTTCAAATGTGATAGGGGAATTTGTATTAAACAGAAATTTCAGGAGGTGTCAGTGTAATTTATCCCCCCCCCCTTTTGTTTTTATTGTGATTGAATTTGATAGTAGAGTATATTATATTTATGTTAGATATCTGAGAGACAATTGGGAATATATGCATTTCTGATTGGTGGAAAGTACCACTTGACACTGCCATGTGGTACCCTCCCAACATACAAAAATTTCTCTAAGAAAACCAATATGAGATGCGATATCAAAAGATTACAAAAATAATATGTAATTAAAATCTCTCAAGTTGGCCATCTAATTTGAGAAAATATTTGGGCTTCATGAACTGCTTTTGGAACCAAAAATTTGAGAGAGTACTTAGGCTTGGTGAACTCATTTTGGAACCGACTTTGGTGATACAAATCATTCACTTTTTAAAATGTATTGGGTAGAATATTTATGCAAAAATATTAGATATCAGTAGTTATATGTTGAAATCACATTTATAAAAAATTAATCGATAATTATAATTTTAAAAATAATTATTCATTTTTTATAATACAAATGTGATTTAAACATATATCTATTAATATTCGATCATTTTAATTTTTTACATAAATATTTTAATTAACGATTAAAAAATAAACTATTCGAATTAACGGAATCGGTCCCAAAATAGTCCATTCAAATAAGTTGTTGAAAAAACAACCTTGACGAAATCCAAACCCAAATAATATATATACCATTTCTCTAAATTTATTTCTTGCAAATCGCTTTTTCCTGCTTTCTCTTTTCCTTATCCCCTTGTAATTCCATGATAGAAACATAACCTGTGTGATATTAAGAAAGAACCGAAGACATTGAGAGAAACCATGCAGGCCCGGCCCTGAGATTTCCGAAGCCCAAAGCCGACAATCAACTGATAAATTTTTAGGGCCCTTTACATTTAAAAAAAAAAATTAAAGGTAAAGGACAAAAAAATTATGTCAAAATCACAAAAAATACTTAGCATTACATTACCACAACTAATAAATATATTTTGATTCTCACTCTTCTTGCATTTTTAGAAGCAAATAAATCAATCATACTTGCATAATCTAATTTTTTTGCAAAATCATTTTCAATGGATAACAATGCTAATTATTTTAAATGGAACTTTCAATTTTTTTTAATTTTTTTTAAATTAGTTTGGGCCTTCCTTAATTTTTTTTGGACTTAAAAAATAACTAATATATTACATTAAACTATAATAAGAGGGAGCCCTTTTTTTTGGGTCTATTGTCAATGGATAACAAGGATAATTTTTTTGAATGGACCTTTCTATTTTTAAATGGGTCAATTTATTTTAAGTTAGTTTGGACTTTCTTTAATTTTTTTTTAGATTTAAAACATACCTAATATATTATAATAAATTTTAATAGGAGAAACCCTTTTTTAGATTTATTTTGAGAGGCCCTAGGCCATCGCCTAGTGGGCCTATGCCAGGGTCGGCCCTGAAACCATGGCGACCGAATTGCACATTACAATTTCATTATTATCAGAGAAAATGCAGAATCTGCTAGTGCTTGCCAAGGGAAGATTTTTTAATCTTTCCTGGATTCAGAAACATCTTGCGTGTTGCCATCAACGAACTCAAACTGATTTTGAGCTTCCTCGAAGTCGAAGCAAAGAATAATACCAGTAGTGGCAATTCGTTACAGGCTCGTATTCTTCCCACTGTTTACTTTGCAGAACACATCACCGATGTTTTCCTCCTAAATGCAAACATAACAAGAAGAAGATCAGATGGGGTCAATGCAGCATGTCAAATTATTCTTCAAAAGCCATTAATGGTGTTTCCACCGCGGAACCAAGTTCAATTCACCACCAAAATGAAGAAAATCGTAAATCATTTCAGAGCTTTGTACAGTGAATTCGCAGATCGGTTAGAAACATGTCACGCTCAAGATCTCACAACCAATACTACACTTGAACTTGATAATCACACATTTAGTTGAGCAATTGCAAGGTACCGACCTGATAATGACGTATTTGTTGGACGCGAAGATGTTGAACAAGAGATCGTAGCATGATCGATCAACAACAACGAGAAAAGCCTTCGCGTGATTTCACTAGTCGGCGAAGAAGCAATTGGAAAGACAACTCTGGCAAGAAAAGTTTACAACAGACTAGACATTCGGCAGCATTTCCAGTGCCGTGCTTGGCTCCATGTTCCGAAAGAATTTTCATACAAAGATGTATTGCTTGTCATACTGACAGACTCCAAATTTATTGAAAGACATAGAGCTAATGAAGGAGAACGAACTCTCAATTTTCCTTTTCAAGATTTTAATGGAGCTCAGGTTTCTAATAGTCTTGGATGATATCTGCACCAATGATGACTGGCTCAAATTTGTGCGTCCCTTTGCAGACGCCGTGAATGGTAGTAGAGTCATAATCACTACTCGTGACTCTAAGGTCGTGTCGGAGGTAGATCCGTGGAGTCATCCTCTGAATCTGATGCAGTTAACAGAAGAGGATACTTGGGCATTGTTCTTGAACAAAGCGGTACCAGAAAATAGTTCAGAGAATAATTTAAACAATGTCAAGGCTGAAATTCTGAGTTTATGTCGCGGTTTGCCTATGGCAATTGTCTTGTTGGGAGGCCTGTTGTCGACTGTGGAATTAAGCGAGTGGTCAACAATCATTGATCATCTCCTTGCTCGAGATCATCATTTCTTAAAATGTATTGTTGATTTGAGCTATGAAAAATTACTATCTAGATTGAAGCTTTGTTTTCTTTATTTCGTTATGTTTCCTAAATCGTATGAGATTTCAACGCGGAGGTTATTGCAGTTGTGGGTTGCTGAGCGGTTTGTTCAAACATCGAATGAACCAAGCATCGACTCTCAAGATATGGCCATGACATGTTTGAAAGAACTAGAGCGAAGAAACATGATTGAAATTGCGGAAAGGAAATCAGACAGAAGCCCCAAGACATGTCGTATGTCGTGTTTCCTCTACAATATCTTCTTACCAAAAGCCGAGGACATAGGATTTCTTCACGTCCACCGTCTCAATTCAGACTGCATACTTGCAGATTCACATATTATTCGGAGGATTGCAGGTCAGTTTTTTGGGGTTAAGTCTACTTCGGAATCTCATACTCAAAATCTATGCGGAGGATTGCAGGTCAGTTTTTTGGGGTTAGGTCTACTTCGGAATCTCATACCCAAAATCTATGTTCTTATGTTTCTTTCGAAGCCCAAAAGCAAGTTACATCCAACACAAAAATTGGTAATTTGCTTAATTCACTAGTCAATAAGGGGAAAAGCTTTGTTCCTTTGAAGGTGTTTGATCTAGAGGGTGTCTACAAACCTTCGCTACCCGAGAAACTCGGCCAGTATTTGAAGAACCTAAGGTACATAGGCTTGCGATGGACCGGCCTACACACGTTCCAAAGTCTATTGGGGATTTGCAATGCCTAGAGACTTTAGATTTGAAGTATACTAATATGGGTGATGCTATGGTCCATTTAGATGTACCATACATTTAGTTATGAACTTATATGATTTTATGTCATAACTAATATCATATTAGTCATAATCACTATCATATTGAGTCATAACTTAGTTATATTCAGTTACTTATTTATACCATATTATCTCATAACCAGATCATAACTAAATTACTTAAATAATTGAACTCTCAAATAGGCAACCGGCTACACCAGTTAGAAGGGGAAACAAAATTGAATCAGTGTGTTTGGCCCTCTTGTTGGCTCTTCTCCTCCCTCTTCTCTTCCGCCATAGCTGAAGCTTCCAAGGACCACCAGCCTCGTCGGCGATCCGGGCTTCAGCCATGTCGACATCTTCTTCGCAAGCTCTCACTCTCTGGACGTCTCCACCATGGGTTTGTTCTAGTTGTTCTTCATCAATCGCAACGATCTCTGTTCTTCATCGATCTCGAGGCTAATCGAACTCGAACTCGAACTCAATCTCTCTCGCTATTAGCTTCCATTTGAGTTTGCAAATCGCAAATTCGAAATCGAGTTTGAATCAGATCAGATCTATCTTGCTCTTTATCTCAGGTACATTTTTTAGAAAATTAAAAAAATTCATGTATTGTCTTTCATATATTTTTTTCTTAGATTTCATTTGCTAATAAATGAAAAAAAAAAAATATATATATATATATATGGTGGTTGCAAAAAAACAAATTTGTTAGATTTCATTTGAGTTGTAAACTAGTTTATATTCAGATTTTGAAGCTCGTTTAGTGTACATTTTCCTGTGGTGCTGTAATCGAAAGTTATATTTGAATTGTTGTCCTCTTGATCTGATCAACAGTTGGATTTGATATGTTATACAGAGAGTTTTTGTAAGTAATTTTATTGTCTGATTGCTTTGCAATTGTTAGATTGGTGATTGATTGCTCTATTATATTGGATGAGATTCATAGAGAAAGCTCATCAGTTTGATTTTATTTGAATTAGAATGGAAGATGAAGAGTAAGGGGGAGGAAGAAAAAAGAAAACATGGATTGATTCAAGTTGAAACTTTGGCACAATGTTTTTCTGATCCAGTTAGAACTCAGAGCAAACCTAGTTTTCTTCATCTATAACCATGTATATAAATTATTAAAAGAAATTATAGCATGAAGTAATTAGTAGAGATAAATCATGTAGAATATCAATTCTTTTAAAAACTTTACCTACATTGAAGTTCTTTGTGGGAAAATTCCACGTAAATGGTAGATCCCAGTTGTAACTAAGTTCTAAAATATCAAATGCAGGTTTATCATTCATATATGATAATCTATACTATTTTAAATTAATTCTTGTTTTTTCTTTGAATGCAGAGACTAAAAATAAAAAATAAAATAAGAATCTCGTTGTTAAAGTAAAGTTTAGAACTTGAAATTTTTATATTGAATGTACGTCTTCTTGAATTTGTATCAGAACTGAGTGCAGAGTTGTTTGTAACGATTAATTTATTTGATAGGAGCAATAATCTGCAGAGAATTAGTTTAGAATTTTAATTGACATGGTTGTAATCAGTTCAGAAAATACTCTTTTAAGTGGGCTACCTTGTTAGAGACTCTGTATTTACTATTTAGGTGCGCGGTAGTTGTGCAAATAATGGGAGCAATATCATGGCTGGTCTTGGCAGCATATTGTTTGCCATGATATGACCAAGTAGCTGATTACTGCAATGCATGTTATTACTAGAGAAAGGGACTTTGCAGTGACTATAGAAAGGCTACCTTTGTCTTGGGGATCACTAATTGGTTATTGTCATGACTTCTTTTGACTGCATTGTAGTGTAGTAGGTACTCCATTGTTTTAGGGATCATACTAGTGTATGTACTCCATTGTCCCAGCTTTGAATTACTACCTACGAGCAGTTCAAATGGCATGGCAGTTGTTGTTTCCTTACCTTTTTAAAAAAGTAAAAAATAAAAAATGATCGACGTTAGTTTTTTTCTCAAAGATGAGCTTTTTAGAATTATATTTGAAATCTAATTTGAAACGTTGATTGGTTATCTAATTAGAAATAGGAAAAGCAAATCTGACAAGATTGTTGCCTGTTAACAATAGCACCGTATTTGCAGCCAATAAAATAAAGTTAATAGCACCATATTTGCTAATAATGGGCATTTAGTACAACAATATTTTTATGTAGCTTTTTAACTTTGTGATTGTGATATTTGCTTTTTTCTTGAACTGCAGTATCATTCAAAGTGTTGAAGTTTGTAATGTGGATTGTGAATGTATATTTGATCCAATGCCGCCAAATTTTTTTGTTTTTGTTTTTGTTTTTTGCTGGAGGCATTCTTGAACTCTTGAGGATAAGATGTGATCATTATGGTTACCACTGCTGGCAAAGGATGCAATATCAGGATTGTCTTTCTTGGAGAAAGATGTTATTTTTGTAGTTTTTTGACAGAAAAAAAGATCCTTAGAATACATGGGGTATGTATATAATAAATATAAAATATCTATGTAGACTATTTTATTTCTAGGCTTATTTGACAATTGGTTAGTTGAGTTATTACAATAAACATGTTTATATAAATGGTGGTGGTCTTAATCATAATTACCAAGAAACTGAGTTGGGGATGGAAAAGGCTTTTTTAGAACCACATTTTTGAGTTATGATCTCCAAAAGTATGGCCCTTTTGGTGCTGCGTGTTTTGACTTCTTTGACTAGGGTCAAACTTGGAAAAAACTCCTCTTTTGGGAGGTGGGGGGCAGTTTTCTCAAACTTTGTAAAATCAAATTTTAGGATTGATTTATGCAAAATCTAGCAAGTAAGGGTCAAATTCCACGAGCTGTGGGTCTCAAAACCAAGCCACAAGAAATAACAAAGTAAGGCTAAAATAAAATCTCAAAATCTTAAGTTTCAGTTCTTCAAAGACATCCTTAAAAAGAGTAATTACAACCCTATATATAAGTAGCCAAGGAAGTTACTTCCTTATGAAGTACTTTGGAATAGAAAAACTACAAAATAACAAGAAGTGGACTAGTGGTAGACATACAATGCAACCACTCCATAACAAGCTAGTGACACATGATGTTCATGCAAACATTCAATGGCAAGTGACATGGTTTTGCATGTAGCCACCTATTAACATGTGTCCTACATGCAACCATCGCACTAAGAAATAGGTGACGTGCTGCTTACAAACAACCACCTCAATAACAAGCTGTATACAAGAACATAATGCACCTTCTCATTAGTTTTAAATTTGTGATACTTCTGTTGATTTCTTTTTGAGACCAAATTATTTTGTCCCTAAAAGTCTATTTATTAGTGACATTTTCAAAATTTTGTCGCTAAATGCCTTATTTTTTACTTTTCGAGACGACTTTTAGCAACTATCCTCATGAAGATGGAAATTGGTCTTTAAATGTCTTTTACAACAAAATTTTCGCTTTTAGAGACCAAAACATTTGGTCTCTAAAACTTTTATATGTTGTAGTGTGCCTACCATCTTTTGATTTTGCCATAGCTGATTCCACTTGTTCAAATGTTTGTTTTGGGTTCTTATGTTTGAATTCTGAATTTTTTTAAGACCTATAGGGAATTGAATATTTGAGGGCTTGCATCTCTTTTCTTTTGTTCTAAAATTGGCAAGTTGGTAAATACATAGTACTTTTAGATTAAAAAATGTCTTCTCCAAGCAAGAGCTGCATCATCACTACCTAAGGTACTAAATTTGTATCTTTTAATTTTTAATTTTTGCAAGGTGGGTTTTTATTTTATTTTTATTCTCTCTTATGTTCTTGGGTTTGATGATGGCAAATACCTGTTAGTTTATGTGATGCTGCATAATTTGATGTTGGATATCCTATGAATGGTGTTGCTTAGTCACATAAAATAGTGTATGTGGAATCATAGAGTATGATTACTGTTGCTTTGTTGCATAAATATTAGTTTGACATGACTTGGCTGTATTGATTGCCATATTCTCATGAGATCCGTGGTTGGTCCTTGGAAAATTTACTTGTTCATGACTTATGCAATATATGATTTGGAAGGATTGCAATTCTTGATCTGGTCTTGATAGATAGCATTACCATTGCTTGATTTTGTTGGTAGTACGAGCTCGTTTGGTAAAGAATACCATTGTGGAATTGTGCACTCCCAAGGGCAGCCCTACGATTTCCATTAGGCGTGTTTTTTCACTTGGTTTGGTAAGATATTGTTGAGTAGCTTTTGAATTACTGTCTCATTTTCTCCATTGCTTCTACGGGACCTTTCAAGCTTAATGGGGTTCCTCTTAGACATGTAAATCAATCTTATTTGATTGATACTTCGACCAAGGTGGACATCTCTGGCATCAATGTTGAAAAGTTTTTTTTTTTTTTTTTTGGAACTGGACAATGTTGAAAAGTTTGATGACAAGTATTTTGCAAAGCAAGTCGAGAAGAAGAAAAAGAAGGGAGAAGGCGAGTTCTTTGAGGCAAAGAAAGACATTTGCTTATAATCCTTTACTAAAATTGTGAAAAAGGCATTACATTTTTGTTGTTTTTTTGGACTTATTTAGTTTAAATATTTTTTTGCACTTATTTGGCTTAGATTTGTTTGTTATTACATCAAGCTGCCTTCTTTAGTTAAATTCTTTGGCTTGTACTATATTTTAGAATCTTGGCAAACAGGGCCTCATAATTGTGTTGAATCTTTCAGTGCATATCTTCTGAAATGCTACGCTTTGGACAAAATATTGATTGTAATTTTTCTCATATTTCAGAATCAAGGAGAAAAAAAAGTGGCGTTTTTTCAAAAAACGTCATTTAGAACGCCACTAAATGACGTCATGCGTTAGTTTGTGATGGAAATGGAAGCGGATGTAAAAGATTTTGCGACATTTTAAAAAACACCGTCTAATAATTTTAATGACGATTTTCAAACGTTGTAAAGCTATTGCGGCGGTCATATCAACGACGCAAATTTTAAACATTGTTGTAATATTTTACAACGTTTTTCAGGCTTTTAGCGACATTTTAAAAAACACCACTAAAACTCAAATTTCTTGTAGTGTTTCTAATGATAACACAAAACAAAGGGAAGGGTTATGCTATAATACACATCTTTATTTTCATGTTATGACATATACATTTCAAATAGTGTATATCATATACACTTTTGATATGTATTTTATGATACATATTAGATATTCTGATAAATAACTAGAAATTGAGGAACATGGCAGTATTTCCTTCCAGTGGCATATGTGATGTAATATGTCCATTGACAAAAGAATCAAATTGGATATTTTTTTAATTCAGTGAATAAAACCTCAATCTAGTTATGCATCTATCGCTGCTTGTGCATGCATGCACTGTACAAATGGGAAAATGCATACTTGATTTTTTTTTTTTTTACACACAAACATCCTTATTTTCGTTCTTTGGTTCTTGTGACTTGATAATTCTGTCAAGTCCTGTTGAAAATATATTGCACACCAAATCTAGACTCATGAATGTGGCAGCAATTGTTGAATTAATGGCCAAATTAATGATGTAAATTAAATTCCAATCTGATTTGTTTCTTCTTCAATTGAATTCGGCTCACCTAAAGCTAGCCCATAGCCAATTCCTTTACAGTCCTACCCTGTGTGATCAAACAGTAATAATTTTTTCCTAGAAGATTTGATATTAGGAGCTAGTTAATTGTCACTACTCATATTATGAAATTTGTACCTCAAATGTTACACTGATGTGATGGTCTATAGAATATATTCATCTGCTTTAATGGCATTAGTTTTATAAAGAAAGTTATTTCAATTTTACTCAATGCTAAAAGGCAACTTTTGCCAATTTTTTTAAAGAGTGACTAACTTGTCCCTCTCATAGGATGAATTCAATTTCCTTATGATCTTGTCTAATGTGTTTTTTGGGCCACAGATTAATTTTCAATGATGGAATGGTGAACATGATGAGCCTTCTGATTTATCAACAAAAAAACTTGATTA